CTGAAGCCTCGTCGATCACTGGATCTGGTGGCCTTCAACGTGAGGACTAATGCAGCTGGGTCAACAAACTTGTGTGGCGCGTGCAATGGACTCTGGGAAATAATGTCCGCTGCACCCCGGAGACGCGGATCCAAGATCCTAGTACTATAAGCCACTTGAGCGCACCGGATTCCCCTTTATGAGGTACTTCTTCCGTACCTCAGGTGATGATGAAGCCCGTTCACTAGGTCAACTTGGCGGGAACCTTGTACTCAGTATCACAGCCGAAGCTGCACGACTCGACTGAATGCCCCTCGACAGTCGGTTATTTATGATGCAGCCCCAATGGTCTATCCGAGTCCGAAAGGGGGAGCAACAGCAAAAGTTATTTGTTCATTTCAGTGTATGCATCGATCAGCGGCAGTTTTGACGCAAAAACAGACTAATCCTTTGATAAACTCACCGAACTCATTCTTCAATACTGCGCAGATCACCATCTGTGCCTATCCGGTTCCAACTTCCGACACAGATCTCAACGGAGAGCAACATGACACTCCAATTCAACTGGTACGTTCAGTCAACTCGACCACAGCAGTAAGCTACTGTGACGTGGCTCAGCACACAACTGCAGGTCCTATTGGACCACTTGCATTGAATCTGATCTCGCATTAGTTTTGATGCAGTTCACTCTCCAACTCGCTGGTCACGGTAAAACCCACCAAACTCGGTTGGAAGATCATCGCTTATCTGACAGCCGTTCGTGCCCGCTTTGAATCAGAACTAGGGCGAGAACCAGACGCGCTGCAGCGGGGTAGTGAAGATGAACCATAGGATCAGATTAGATATGCAATGCATTCCGCAGCTTGTAGATCTGAAGCGGTAGTCTGTCCGAGGCATTGAATATCTGATAAATTACTAACACTGGTGCAATAGAAGCAGCAAAACCCCGACCGCCCCGGACCAAAGCAAGGGTAGGTGACATCTTCAACTTCAAATCACGAAGAGCCTCAAGAAAAACCGTGAAGAATGGTGGGCAACAATAGCTCGTGAAAAGGAAGTAGGTGGGTTGGGGATGGAGGAAATTCAAGAGTGATCAAGCTAAGACCTGGCATGAGGGTATGAAAACCCTACCCAGGAGTCTGGGTCACGTAGGTCCCGTTAGGCTCCCTGGATAGGGACCTCGGGATGATCATACCCGATGGTTAGAGACACTGAGTGATATGTCTGATTGTCGTAAACAATGGCGTTCGTGCATCTTGTCAATTTCTCTGCAACATTAGTCCACTGAAATCCCTGATCTTACTTTCAACATTTCCTGTTCTCCTCCTCATGTTCACCCAAATGGTCAGCTAAAAGACAGCAACGAAAACCGGCGCACAATAGTGCATGGTTAATGGTTGTACAAACTGAATTCAACTGAACTGGAAGTAGCACCTCCATTAGTGAATAATCACAGACTGTTCCAACTGATACGCAACACGTTAGATCGGCAAACCACAGTTAGTGAAACAGTCTGCGACCAAAGTGGACAAGCTGTTCACAGTTGATAACAACGGCTTGATCAGTAGGCGGAGTAATTCAGTGAACAGTTTAACTGGCCGGGCGCTAACCAGACTTTTTTCTTTTGTAGTTGAGTCTTTGTGATCAGTTTTTATGTGAGCCTCCTGCTGAAGCAGAAGTGCGACTTTGCATCGAAGCCCTGAACAAAGGAAATCTGCAGGACCTAACTGGTTTCCCGCTCTTTTGATGACTGCGGCGGGGGGGGGACAATGACCTCGTAGATTCCATTGCTGATTCAATGCGTGACATCTGGTCACGAGAGCATATTCCTTCATCTTAGAGCGAATAACTGACAAACTAGCAAGTTCTGTCGCTCCGTTCGGCATGCGCTTTGCATCTTCAAAGTGCAAAGTAAATCTTGCAAGTCTGAGTGTCGCCGAGTTCCGTTCTGAAACTAGACGGTCGAAAATTGGCTGAATTGTTGTAGCGGTAGGGCATCAATGGAGACAATTACCCCAATTTTCAAGGTTCGAGCAGCGTACACAGGACTAAAACACCTTTAGTTATGACGTGACGTTTCGCTGAAGTTGAAAAGTCGCATATAATACTCCACTATACGATCAGTTCTGCCTTACGGTTATTAGACCTTGAATTTGCGGGTAGAACACATCCATTGCCTAGTGGTTCTCGATGATCGATACTAACGTAGTCTAACTCAGGTGGGATGGAGTGAGCGGGTTAGCAACCTAGAAGTAGTTCTTCGGGTGTTTGGGAATGCATCGAGTTCAGCTCAGAATGCCCTATTGGTTTATACACGTTTTGCATGTCTTACGGTCGCCGGCTGCACTGCGCCTTATTTTCCGTGGCCGCTGCGGACTGAAGAAAGCCGTATGGAGGCCAGCAGATGACGTGGGGACGGGGCATGAAGAAATGCACAGCGCGATTAGGTAGAATAGGTGCCTCGCCTTCCGGGTTGTGTTCCAAAAGACTCCGTTCCCGGATGTTTGGAGACATTAAAGGTTACGACATTAAACCGACAGCAGTGGCTATCTTGCTGTCGTTTCTTGTCAGTTCAGAATGCTTGAACTAGTGTGTATGCACAGTTAGACTGTGTAAACGGTGTGTTGACTTTTTCCCGTCCTTGAAAATAAGCCTTATTCCTATCTTCCCTACACGTTCTCATTTACCCTGTATGCATTATAAGGTTGATAGCGAACAGTAAAGTTCGCTTCACTGTGTTATCATGATCGACTACGTCGATAATTGTGATTATATAGGTTCCCGTCTAGTGGGAAGTTTGACGGGCAAAATGCGGTTTACACGGACAAATTTCCGTTACTTCGGTTTCCTAAAGGTTTAGTTGCCTGGCACTCGAAGAAGCATTCCTCAGCAGTCGATGCGCGCTTGTTTTTAAATTTTGATGGGAGCGTTGGTTGGTGAGTATTGCTAGCGTCAAAATGTTGCTTACTTCGGTGATTATGCTGATCGCACAGTGAAGTACATAGGCAAAACTGTCTTTGATCGCCGTCGTGGATAATGCATATACCATAAGCTCTAGATCGTAGGACTCTAAGAGACTTCATCGTTTTAACAGCTGGACGCCATAAAGTATTTTCTCTATTGTTATACGATAGTTCTTTCTAACCTTTATTTTTATCGCTACTAGTATCCTCTTTTTCTGTTTATTTTTAGACAACTGGTTGAACGATCCTTCGGGCACCCATCTGTCTCACCTGGCGGTATATTGCGTCCTTCCTCATGTGGCACCGCCAGCACGATGGGCCCAATGTCGCCAGATCCTCCTCATATGATGGTGGATCAAATGACGAGTCCAATCGTGTCCACAGAATCGTGCAACTTCTTCAGCCCCTCTAGGTTTGTTATACTGTCAGTCCAGAAAAAAAATATTTCTAAGCCTCCTACTCATTTCGAGCCAATCATCTTCCTTAAGTTTAGGTCCCTGAGGATTTCGGTTATTTTCGAGAACTTGTGTTGCACTGCACCAATCGCTATTCGCAAAGGCATCCGGCCTGATGTGATTCGCCACTTTTTCAAATCCGCTATATAGGTTACTCTTATCTACTCGATACATGCAAATTTAGCAACTCTTCTTTCTGGTGAATTTTGTGATGACAACGATCAACACAGCCAGTGTAACCCCATCTGAAAGGATCATCATTCATTTTCTGGAACTAATTTATATGACTGTTTTGTAATCAACGGTGTTGATCGTTGTTTTTGTAGCTCGGGTAGTATAACTTTATGTTCCGTTGTTAGCCGAGCTTGGCAATTGTATTGTAATACAATTGCCAAGCTCGGCGAACAACGGAACATCAGCTAGTCTATGTATCCAATAGATACAGGCCAAGTGAAACACGGTATCTTTCCGTTCCGTTGTGGTTGCTAACGAACACAATAAAAAGCAGTGAAACGGTTTCGCGAGAACTCTCTGTCACCAGATTAAGTAGTAGTTCGTGCTAGACAAAAGATAGGTTCTCCACAGAGACACTGCAGTTATCCACCAGAACGAGAAATGTCCATCTGATCGGTTACCTTAACTAGCGTAGGTTCCAATTCGCTCATTCAGAAATGATCACAACCTATATTTGGAGCAGATTGCTACCAATATGCAATGTTCATCAGAATTTGGAGAATTTAAGGAGCTTTTCCGGCTTATTCGCCATGTGTTCGTGACGTGTGGTCCTCCCGAATCTCTCTTACTCGACGTCGCTTAGGACTTCGTCATAAACCAACGGTATAGTGATTATTTGCCGAACCATCCCACAGATCGCTCAGATGTTCTAGATATTGTCAGCTCTTCTTGATATCAGTTACAAAGCACCAAGTCAAACCGACATGGCCGTAAAGAGAAAGCAGCCTGCCGCCATAAATCTACAAAGCGTGTTTTTCAACAACAGTTTACTTACTGCATTGCTTGCGTTACTCAATGTAGAACGGCGAGATGTTCCTGTGGGTCTGCCCATCCTAATGAAACGTAAAATTGTCTTATCATGACGAAATGAGAATCAACCTAATTAACGCAGCTGTCAAAGTTTTCTGTACACTATTGCTCTACCGCCATGAGTGAATATTGTTGAGGGGCGATGGAACACCGGACGCGTTTAAGACTGTCCAATGTGTACTGCTCATATCTTTATACGCCCAATCGTAAGAACAAATGGGAATCCGAAAGTTGGTTTGTGCAACAAAGCTGCCCATTTCTCAGAATTGCTTAACTGCGCAATCGATTGGCTAATGATGAAAGCTGAATACCGCGGTGCCAACCTAAGTTCATATGGGAACCTAGAGTTTGTGGATGGCATAGTTTTGCATACAAGAAAATTCTTTTTCTTGGTTTTTTGTTTCTCGTCACTTTCCATCTTGTTCTCAGTTCCATCCCCGCTCTTCTTGTAGATGTTATTGCGCTTTCACCATGCTGGTTCCCGAACTAGTATAACATTTATCAGGGGATTCACCTAGCGGTATTCTGCCGATTCCCGACCACATTAGTTTCTTCGTAAACCGTATCGAATTACGAAGAAACACATCCGAAATTATCTAAATCCAGATTTCTGTCCTTTGGGATCCAATCAAAAAATGCCGGATTCTATCACCCGCCTTCTCACCTCCCAATGATCAAGGGAAAAATTAAATCGTTCTACAAATTGACAACTGAATATCATCCCTACAACCAGTATCTACACTGGGGCCATTCCCAGATTGCGCCTGAAACCCCGTGTCTGCAGTGCTGCTAAATGTCCCTTTTAGAATGACGCCCATGCAACTTGGTCTTCGAGAGACGAATTCATAGGTTGTAGGTATTCAGTCAATGATGCCCACTGAATACTAAAAGTTGCCTATAAGGGCTGGCTTTTAAACATAAAAGGTGTTTGAACTATACGTTACAAAAGCTATCGGGTTCGACAGTGATTTGGTGCTTAACCCTGGGCGGATAATCTGTCTTTATCTTCCCGTCTAGTTTCAAAAGCGTCTGGTTTAGATTTCTTTCGTACATGTCGGTTGATGTTCTTGAAAAGCAGTGCTCTCGTATAGAGTTTTCAGAAACTGTTCCCCGTTCTACTACGTCACACTTTATAACTCCACATTGAATGGCTTATCATATG